AATAACTTTTAAACGTGATTTTTTACAGTAACATGATGTTTACCAAAATTTAAGGAATCTCAATAAATATAAAAAAAACGAAAAAAAACGTTTAAAAAAAATTTGTTTTGTGCATATCTTTTTAAATATTACATTTACACAATTTACATAAAGAAGGCGCTTGAATCATTTAAAAATACCTTTCAAACGAGATACAGCACAAGTCTGTAGCTTCAGTAGTTTACGGTCTTCCGTATTTTAGCTATTTATAGCTGTTTTCCCGCTAAACTAGCGGGTTTTTCCAAAAGTGGTAGAACTAAAGTTTCTTATATCGAGCTGTTGAACATCATATCAAATTTGCAATATGTTTTACTTATTTTGCTCTTAACTAACACACCAATCAGTGGAAAAAAGAAGCAAAGCGATTCGGTACCTAGTTTTTAAGATATACCCCCCGGAAGTGCGAAAAATTACCTAAAAACGGTGTGTTTTTTAAAGTGAAAAATTGTTCAACTTCGAAAGGGCATATCATTTACAAAAATCTTTTGATTTGAAAAAGGGCTACATATTTGTAATAGTGGATCAATTACCTGTCGACTGGTATGGGTCGCAACTTTCTAGGACAAAGTCGAACAAGTGATTTATTGCACGTTTTTTTGGCCCAAGGCGCCACTGTGCGTCGACCAATATAATGCATCTTATACCGTTCGAATTATTAAAGAAAACAAGAGAGAACGCTATAGTCGGGTTGGTGTCCTGACTACCTTATACCCGTCACTCAGTTAAAGGGAGTGCGAGGGAGATGGATATATCAACTTTTTTTTGATTGCGCATAACTTTTTAATGAATGGTCCGATTTGAAATCTACATTTCGATAGGTCTAAATATACACAACAAAATTGCATTTATACTCCTCGAAAATATTTAAGGGTGTGGGCGCCAGACACATTTTAAAATCGTTAGTGGGCGATTGTGGGCGTTACAGGGGGCGTCACGATGTCTCCCAAGTCCGTGCTTAAGGTAATTGCAGCAGTTTGACATTTTACAGTAGAGTTTGTACTGTAAGGGGCGTACTGCAAGTGAGAGCGTATTAAAATAGCAGCACCTCCTCGAAGACGGTCAGAGGGATGATTAGCCGTCAATAAATCATATCCAAAAATTTTGAAATGTGAGCGGCTGTTAAAATGCGTTTCGTTAATTAGCATCACATCAATTAAATTAGCGCTAAGATAGTGCTCTAACTCGAGACTTTTGCCAGTGACACCATTGGCGTTCCAAAATGAGAAACGAATGCCTAAACTAGACATGTCTCCTGATTTTAGACGCATCAGAAGGCGAACTGCCGGTAAACTGGTTCATAAGAAGCTCTATCATTTTCATCATCATTGACATCATCTGGTCAATATGGGAGATAAGTATTTCTATTTACTGCCCCCCTTCTTTTTATGGACTGCTCAAGATTTTGGACAACTTTTTAGCGAATTTTCAAAGCGTTTTATCATAGCTGGTGACTGGAACGCTCACAATCAATTTTGGGGTTGTATCCGCTCTTCACCAAGAGGTGTTCAGCTTTTAGAGCATATTACGTCTTCAAGTCTGCAAGTCTTAGCTACAGGAGGACCAACTCACTTTCCTTCTGATGCTAGGCGAAATCCAACGGCAATCGATTTTGCTATTTACAAGGGTATCTCGTCCAACTTTCTGACTGTACATGAATCTCATGAACTTAGCTCTGATCATATTCCGCTTGAAATACTTCTATGCGCTTCTACTTCACCCCGACTTACAACACCAAGGCTGCTGTCTCGTCGGGCTAACATTGGACGTTTTAAGGATTACCTTACAATCCTTACTGAGAATGGTGAATCTGCTGATCTGAACTGTCCTCTGGATATTGATACAGCTGTTAGTGACCTGACTCTAAAGATTCAATCTGCCGCCTCCGCATCCACTGCCCTTTTAGACATCAGAGTAACGACGCTGGTTAGGCAGAAGAGATCACTCCGGCGACGCTGGATGCAAACGCGTCATCCGCAAGACTTAGCAATACTGAAAAGAGCTGATACTTTTTTAAGAAAAGCACTTTATGATGATCCGAATTCTTCGTCCGGAAACTTAGTGCTATCGATCCGGATGCTGATCGAGGCTTCGAACTGTGGAAATGCACTCTCGGGCTTAAACGGCAGCCTCTCCAGAAGTTTCCCTTGCTTCGTTCGGACGGTACCTGGGCAAATAAAGATGATGAAATAGCTAAGGAGTTCGCTGATTCTTTGGAAGAAAGATTTAAGCCTTTTGATTTGGTCACAGATGAAGAGACTGCTGTTACAGATGCTTTTGATGACGTTCCCTCTGGACAAGGTTAAGTACCTTGGACTTACTCTGGACAGGCGACTTACCTGGAAGCAGCACATTGTGGCAACCTGTGCTTCAGTAAGGCAAAAAGCGGGGAAATTGAGATGGCTCCTTCGACCGGGAAGTGGATTGTCGATCACGGCGAAAACCCGGCTCTTCAAAGCAACCTTGATGCCTAGTCTACATTGGGGTATACACTTTTGGGGCACTGCCTGTAACACATCTATAAAAAGAATTGAATCCTGCCAATCCAAAATTTTAAGACATATGATAAACGCCCCATACTATACAAGAAACACTACTATTTTTCGAGATCTTAAAATTAATCCTGTTTGTAAATCTATTACCAATAAGGCCATTCGATACAGATCAAGACTCGTCTCCCACACAAACAGACTTGCTTTCAGACTTTCCAGACCTATGAACAGAAGAACACTAAAGAGATTGCACCCATCAGACAATTGGATACTTGGACGGCACGCTTGGGGAAGACTCATTCCAGACTTAGACGCATAGTCTGCAACACTGTTAAATTTTAATAATAACTCTTTTTTTTTTTTTTTTTATTCACTACTTTTGTTATTTTTACCATAAGTGAAAGTGAATTGAGTTCCACATTACACCCTACAATAAACTTTTTTGTTGAGCATATCGAAAATTAACAGGGGGCGCGGCGCTCGGCTGAAATAAACTTGCGCTGCGTAGGAAGCCAAAGAATATGTGTGGGAAATCTCAACCTTCTAGCTTTTGTAGTTTCTGAGATCTCAACGTTCACACAGACGGACATGGCTAGATCGACTTTATGGGGTCGGAAACACTTCCTTCTAGCTGTTACATACTTTTGCACGAATCTAATATACCCTTTTACTCTACGAGTAACGGGTATAATAAACCGTAAGAGATAAAGAAAAATTTAAAAAAAGTCCTTCTATTTTAATCGTCTATCGAAAAAAAGTTTCGATTGATTCTGAGATTTGACCCAAATTGGCCTGTCACGTTTTACGTGGAATGACCAATAAAAAAGCAATAATACCAAAGAAAAATTGCTTGTCTTATAGTTAAATGACTAAAATAGCTAAAAAAAAATTTAAAATGGCTAGTTTAGTGGCTGAAAGCATTTACAAAATATTATTTTTCAAGACTTCCTGGACATTTAACCAAATAATAACAACTTGTCATTGCCGGAATGGAGTGAAGTTAACGTACTTGCGGCCGTGCTTGAATTATTATTATTATTATTATTATTATTATTATTATTATTATTATTATTATTATTATTATTATTATTATTATTATTATTATTATTATTATTATTATTATTATTATTATTATTATTATTATTATTATTATTATTATTATTATTATTATTATTATTATTATTATTATTATTATTATTATTATTATTATTATTATTATTATTATTATTATTATTATTATTATTATTATTATTATTATTATTATTATTATTATTATTATTATTATTATTATTATTATTATTATTATTATTATTATTATTATTATTATTATTATTATTATTATTATTATTATTATTATTATTATTATTATTATTATTATTATTATTATTATTATTATTATTATTATTATTATTATTATTATTATTATTATTATTATTATTATTATTATTATTATTATTATTATTATTATTATTATTATTATTATTATTATTATTATTATTATTATTATTATTATTATTATTATTATTATTATTATTATTATTATTATTATTATTATTATTATTATTATTATTATTATTATTATTATTATTATTATTATTATTATTATTATTATTATTATTATTATTATTATTATTATTATTATTATTATTATTATTATTATTATTATTATTATTATTATTATTATTATTATTATTATTATTATTATTATTATTATTATTATTATTATTATTATTATTATTATTATTATTATTATTATTATTATTATTATTATTATTATTATTATTATTATTATTCCCGCAGGGGCACCCAACACCGGGTGACGGGCCTGATATACCCGCGGACCCCCAGTCACGGCAAGACACTGGAACGATAAATTGACTTACGATTATGCACACAAAAGACGATTTTATGATATCGGGCTTGACGAATGCAGCATACTGATACCTTAGTACGCAAGAGTGACATTTTGCAGAAACGGCTATCGGGATAATGTTACTTTCGCCTCCGTCCAGTTAAAACTAAGCAAGTCTCTTCGTACGTTCAAATCACATCACCGTTGACTCGGCGGTACAGGTGCAGTTGAAATGATTCCTGCTTTGCGTCCGTCCTGGCTCTGAACACAACCGCCCATGAAGCGTTGTGTCAACCCTCGCATGTACCTCACTGCTTGCATAGGGACCCATGGGGACATTTGGGACAACTGTACATAGGTGAGGAGATAGCGGCGTAGAGTTTGGACCCTTTAATGCAAGATGACAACTCAATTAACACCAAACAATATAAAGGAAACTTACCGAAAGAGCAACTTGATGGGTAGGTCGCCTCAAAGAAACGCGACCATTGAAAGAAAGGAAAATAATGAACTTGCTGAACAGAACACTCCGAAAACAGGAAAGGATTCCGAAGCATCACAGCAGATAGACCCTCAAACTCCTGAAATAGTTAGGAAAGAGACAGCACCGACAACACAGCGAAGCTCCCCGCGACAGGAACTAATATATAAGATGAGAACATTAGAGGAAGAATCTCTGACCAAGTGCAAGGCAATAATAAGGAAGATGAAGCGTGCGATGCAAAAACAAAGAAACATCAACATGGATGTCAAGGACGGTACAGCTGAACTTACGGAGCTCTTCGATGTTATAGAGAGCTACAGAGCGAGCTGGAAAAAAGCTGAAGGCGAAAAAATAAAAGAAATGAGTAAGGCAATACCAAAGACCTTGAAGATAGTCGACACCCCGCTGTCGTCAACCCAAATGAGAGCAGCTGCCAGCCCGGCATTACAGGACTCAAGCAAAAAAGCCAGAGATAAAGAATCAAATAATGGCTTTCAAACAGTGACTAACAAAAAAAGGAAAAAATATCCAAAATCGGACGATCGAAATTTAAAAAGAGACGTTAATGGAGAAAAGAAAGATAAACCTAGGACAAGAGTAAGATCTCGACCAGATGCTGTGCTAGTAAGGCTAACCGAAGGAAAGAGCTATGCAGAAGTTCTGAGGGACCTACGAAATAGCGTGAAACCAGAAAATGATGTCAGTAATATCCTGTCGATTAGAAAAACAAAATCAGGTGACATGCTCCTAGAATTGTCTAGGGGGAGCAAAGCCGAACTATTATGCGAGACTATCAAGACCAGGCTCAAGGGTGATGCAACAGTTAGAACCATGAAACAGCAAACCAAACTGGAAATTCGAGATATAGACAGTATTACAGAGGAAAGCGAGATCATTTCCGCAATTAAAACTGGGATAGGAGATACTACCGAAGAAATCAAAATTCATCTGACTGGAGTAAATAGCTCGGAGCAACGACGGGCCTTCGTTACCTTAACGACAGAAGATGCAGCGAAAATATTGAAGGACCCAAGAATCAGGATTGGCTGGACCCTGTGTCGAGTAAAAGAATGCATCGACACTATGCGATGCTATAAATGCTTTGGAGTGGGACACACGCAAAGGGATTGTAAGGGACCAGATCGAAGAAACCTATGTATCAGATGCGGAGAGGCTGGGCACAAAATGAAAGAATGCAAAAACCCAGTAAGATGTTGTGTTTGCGCAGCGGAGGAAAGGATAGAGCTAAACCACCTTCCTGGGACTACAAAATGTCATAGCGGCGCAAGTAAAAACAGGGAATGAAAGTCCTACAGGCAAATATGCACAGAAGCAGAACGGCCAATGATCTGCTGCTTCAAATAGCGTTGGAGCATCATGTAGATCTAGCCATTATTAGCGAACAATACAAAACTCGGGAGGACGGTCTGTGGATAGAAGATGAGACGAAAACCGCGGCTTTATGGATCCCAGCTTTCAGCACCGTTACACACCACACCCCCATTAGACAGAATTGCTACGTATCAGCACAAGTTGCGGACTGGACCGTTATTAGCTGCTACCTAACCCCCTCCGATGACATTACGACTTTCCAAAGAAAACTCGAAGATATCGAAGATGCTGCCAAGCAAGCTCAGGGAAAGGTTCTATTAGCAGGTGACTTTAACTCAAGAGCGGAAGAATGGGGCATGGCATCAACCAACTCCAGAGGCAGGAAAATTCTAAACATGGCTGCCAGACTCGGAATGGTAGTTGCAAACATAGGATCAACCGCTACATTTAGACGACCTGGAAATGAAGGAACAATCCCGGATATAACGCTTGTGTCGGAAGAAATGGCAAACAAGGTCGCCGAATGGAAAGTATTAGAAATCTTTAACGGAAGCGATCACGAGTATATTTCCTACAAGCTGACACAAGGCGATCAAAATCGCTCTGAAAATCGTCTTAGCCTAGGAAAAAAGGGATGGAACGCAAATAGACTAAGCAAAACAAAGCTCATCAACGAAATTGATAGAAAAGCAGATACTATTCGGCAAAACGACGAGAATATAATCAACGACACTATGTCAATTATTAAAAAAGCGTGCAACGTCGCAATGCCAAAACGGGGAAACCCACACAGGCAAGGTCAAGAAGCATACTGGTGGACAAATGACATACAAATCTTAAGAGAGAAATGCCTCAAAACTTGACGCCGCCTCACCCGAGCAAGACGTAGAGGAATATTTACTGCCCAGGAACAGGAGTACAAAAAAGCTAAGAAGGATCTTAATATTGCTATCCGGAAATCCAAGATTATTAAATGGAAGTGCCTTTGCAACGATGTTAACTCTGACCCTTGGGGACTAGGCTACAAAATCGTCATGAAGAAACTTAGGTCCCGGAGATCCTTGCCGGAACTACAGGTAGAACAGATGGACAATATTGTCAGAGCACTCTTCCCTACTCATGAGATTCGGCCGCGGAGAAGAACGGTGCCCTACCTCAAAGAACGAGTAGACATGTTTACACTGGAAGAACTTGTCAGGGCAACAAATAGTTTAAAAAGTAGGAAAGCTCCAGGACCCGATAACATACCTGCGGAGGGCCTGCAAGCAATTGCAGAGAGGCGACCTAATCTTCTGCTCGAAACTGCAACGTCTGGTTCTGATAAGCAAGGGTAAAGGAGATCCCTTATCGCCATCAGCATATCGACCATTATGTATGTTAAAAACGACAGGAAAACTCCTAGAAAAGATGATTAAACCTCGTCTAGCAGCAGCAGTTAACAGAGCCGGAGGACTCTCTCCAAGGCAGTTCGGTTTTAGACCAGGGAGATCCACAATAGAGGCAATTCAAAAGGTATATTGCGAAGCACTACGAAGCCAACAGGGAAATCACTACTCGAGACCAATAGTACTCTTAGCAACACTGGATGTCAAAAACGCATTTAACAGCGTTAAATGGGAAAATATTACAGACGCACTAGAACACAAATTCAAAATCGGTGGATACCTCTTGAAAATATTACAAAGCTACCTCGAAGACAGGAAGCTACTGTACCAAACAAAGGCAGGCGAGAAATGTGTAAAGGTAACATCAGGAGCTGCACAGGGATCAATACTGGGCCCCGAGCTATGGAATATTAGCTACGACGAAATACTGCGCATAGAAATGCCGGAAGACACAACCTTAGTAGGATATGCGGGCGATATAGTTGCAGTTATCTCGGCTAGTAACCCCGAAAACGTACAGCGTAAGCTAAACCAGGTGATGCTCCGGGTTAAAGGATGGATGGACAATAACGGCAAGCCGAAGCTTATATACCCTTACAGCTCATTCTATTTATTTACAAATTGCAAAAATGTTAAATTTCCTATTACTTCACATTAATTTTTTGATCGTTTCTATGGCAGGCAAAATAAAAATTGAAATTCGGAAATATTTAAAAATAGTCATGTCCCAGAGTAGAAATGAGTGTAATAAAAATCAAAAAAGATATAATTTTTTCCCTATTAATTTCCATTTAATTTTTCGACCGTTCCTATGGCAGCTATATGATATAATGATCCGATTTTTTTAATATTTTATTCGAAATTCAGAAATATAAAAAAAATAATATTTCCAAGAGTAGAAGGTAATATTTGAAAAAACACAGTTTCACTCCAGAGCTCATTGAGTAAAGACGTGCAGCTACGGCGATCTAAATCACCAACAACCAGTGCTTATCAGCAAAATTTTCAAAAACAAAAAAGAAAACAAAAGAGACCCCAAAAAAAAAATTACAAAAAATACAACAACAAAGAGTCACGTGATCACAACAACCACAAGCAATGGGTTCGCCCCACAAAACCAAAATGTTACCACCAGACAAAAACAGACTTTTTTCTAAAAACTTAATAACTGAACATAAATTCATTGTTAAAAAGTAAAGACAATACATCCCTGGAAAACACAAACCCATTCATTCTAAAAAAATAAATCGACTACATCTGCGGAGGTGAAGTGAAAAAATGCAAAATTACAAGAGCAGGTACAATTCTAATTCAAACAAAAAAAATATAACAAGCCGAAAAATAACTAAAAATTAAACAACTTGGTGTAGTAGACGTAGAAGCATACGAACACAAGAACCTTAACCAGACCAAAGGAGGAGAAGAAGAAATTCTAGCCGAACTAAAGTCCCAAAAAGTTTCTGAGGTGTACAAGTGGACCAAACTAGTCGATCAAAATCGAGTTCCAACAGGACTTATAACGCTTACATTTGTTTCTACCAATCTCCCTGAAAAAGTGTTTATCGGATATGAAATAGTATTCACACGCCCATACATACCACTTCCTATGCAATGCAAAAAATGCTTTCGCTTCAACCACCCCCAAGTTGGCTGCAAGCAAGACAACCATATATGCAAAAACTGCTCTGATACCACCCACAACAACGACAACAACGATTGTAAAAATGCCCAATCTTTCTCAAAGAACAGGAACTTATAGCCATCAGAATCATCGAAAAAGTTGATCATCCCAGCATCCCAACCATCGAGCAACGGCGAGATCATCTCACAACTAAACTCTTCAAAAACCTTATGCGCTCCAAAGACACACCAATACACAAACTTATCAAACCAACAACCAGATGAAAAAAATGGACCTCAACAACAAAAACAACACTTCACCAGAAACATACCAAAAACTTTTCAATGAAACAAAAACCATACATTTATATACACGGACGGATCTCAACAAAATTTAACTACAACCACCGAAACAGAAATATAACACTACTCTCTGCAAGGGTATAAAAACCATCATAAATTTCCTTAAAAATACAAACTTATATAATCTAATCTAAAATCAAAATTTAAAATATTGTTAAATTGAGTTCACCTATTAACAAGAAAGGAAGCTAGCTTCGGCCAGCCGAAGCTTATATACCCTTGCAGATAATTCCTATTAATTTACAAATCGCAAAAATGTTAATTTTTCTATTATTTCTCATTAATTTTGCGTTCGTTTCAATGGCAGCTATATGATATAGTCGTCCGATTTTGAAAACATTTTATTCGAAATTCAGAATTAGATAAAAATGACATTTCCAAAAGTAGGATGTTACAGGTTCAAAAACACCCAAGATATAATTTTTTTACATTTTTTTTCCCGATTGTTCCTATGAGAGCTTTATGATATAGTTGTCCGATCCTGCTCGTTCCGACTTATATACTACCTGCAATAAAAAGAAGACTTTTGGGAAAGTTTTAAAGAACAGCAATACGAACACGGGAGAGCAGCAATAGTGCTTTCCCTTTCTTACACGTTGCGCTGTTGTTGCATGATGCAAAGTTGCTAAACTAAAATCGTTGTTTTTACTAGTAGGTCTTGCAAATACAAATATTTTATTTTACCACTTCGTGAAGAATTGATGAAGCAATATGAGGATAATTTTTTTATTCGGAAACCGCGTGTATTCCGGCGTACAGAATTTTTTTAAATTTAAATTCTCTTAAAGAATACTTAATTTTAAAATTAAAAATTTTTTTAATTATTTTTCTGAAAGACATGAACATATGCCACAAAGTTGCATACCAAATATTGAAATAACTCAAACGAGTCTCAAGTGATGCACAACTGAAAAATCGGAGCTTAATTAGAAAATTATTTTTTTTAAATAAACGGTAAGAGTTAAAAAAAAAAAATAAAAACCGATCCTTATATTTCAATCCTCTATCGAAAAAAAAGTTTCGATTGATTCTGAGATTTGACCCAAATTGGCCTGTCACGTTTCACGTGGAATGAGCCATATATCATTTTTAATATATGTAAATAATTAAAAACTCGAGAATTAGTTACTTGTCTAGGTAAAATCTACTCAATTATTGGCTGCGACTTCTTGCGGTCAATAACATTTAACACTTATAATTTTAAAATAAAGATTAACCGATCCTCGATGTTCAGAAGACGCAACATATTGGGAAATGTTAAGAAGGGAGGGACGTTCAATATCTTGCGCCCTCATTAAAATGTCTGTCCTGCCGATTTTCGAATCTTAGGAATGGCCTGTGGATTAGGGAGTCCAATCTTTAAGGACCTTTTTTCCATGTCAGCTGTTTCAAACAAACCAATGTAGATAACATTAGACAATAACACATAATTGGTCAATTTTATTGTAAATGTATTTAACAAATTATAGTCAGTCTTTTTTGTAATATTGTTATTAAAGGATAATAATTTAGCAAATTATAATCAGTCTTTTTTTGTAATGTTGTTATGTAAAAACATAATTTTCTTGACCATTCGATCGCTTTTTATCAATGCCGACCTTTTTTCTGTTATTAAATTGCTGGCTTGGGAAAATGAACGCTCGGAAGATTCGCTGCTCGCCGGAGTTCCCAAAATTTGGCAGCTTGCTTTAAATAAAAGCGGAAATCTCTCTTTATTTGCTGCCCACCATTTTAGAATGTTGAATTCATCTGTCAGCTTTACAACGGTATTATGATACTGCTTCACCTCACTCTCGACAATATTATGATTTGAATCGTCCCTTAATTGGCCAACCCAATCACTGAATAGCGCGTTGCTACTTAATGATCCGACAGCATTTTGAGGGGGGTTGGTGTCCGTTTCCTTACTGACATATTTGTTGATGTAAAGTTTGCAGTCTTCCATAATGCTTTGCCTTTCGTCAGAATCAAGTAATATTAGTTTGTTGGCAGGAGGAAACAAAAATACCGCTAATTTGTGAAAATGTGTTATAAATGGATCTACAATACTGACTAGATGATGGGTAAGAGAACTTTTAAATTTTGATATAAGGTCCGAATACATTTCGCTAAAACTACACTTTTTTTTTTTAAATTTTGGAGATGTGGGATAACCAAATGTAAAGTGGGGTATAAATCTCCTTCCAACTCCTTAGACGACCGCTCAAATTCGGCCAGCAATTTTGTCACTTTCTTTAAATTCCTTAAGTTTAAATCATTCTTCGTAATCAAAATTGTATTGATCTCACTCCATTCAAGCTCTATAGATCGCATCGTATAGAAAATGGTATTCCAAAGAGTTGGACAAAATCCTTTTCCATCTTGGAATTTTCTCCCGATTTCTTGAAAAATGTGACCAGCTTATTGCACGAATCCGACATTGCTGCTAGCTCCGGCACATTCTTAAATGTTTTTTCTATCACGTTGTTCAAAAGATGATTGACACAATGGATATGGGAGTGGTTTTTATATGCAGCTATCATGTTCGCGCCACGGTCGGTTACGATTATGGGATCGTCGAATTCCAAATTACATCCAAACTCTTTCAAACAGTTTTGAACACGTTTTTTTAAGTTAGCGCCTAAAATAAATAATTGTTATTTTGTAAACTTAAATAATGTTAATTTCATACCGGTTGATGGGTCAGCATCCATTGACTCTATTCCAAGAACCCTGCTTATAAAGCTAGCATCACGAATATAATGCATTGTGCCTGCGTAAAATTTTCTGTCCAAGCATCAGTGGTGATGAAAACATATTATTGGTTCGAATAGATTGGATTTCGATTTTGACCCTAGAAAATTCTGCTTTATACAGGTCGGACACATTCCTCGATATTGTGGTTGGGTGAGGAAGAACGTGTTTCGCATTCAACCCATTTCCATAATTTGCTCCTAAATGGATTAGGAAATCTGCAAATTTTTCCAAGCCTTCATCAGCTATTATTTGGAATGGTCTACAATTTCTTATTGTCCACTCCGTTGTATTTTGGTCAGTCGTTGCTTACTATCACGATTCAGATGAACAGTATTAGCATCTCGTTCTTTTTCCGATGCAGTGTAGCATTTATGACGCTAAATTTTTAACGATTTCGTCCTTTTCATTTATAAACTTGCAAAAATATTCCACACATTACTTCGTCCGCGCTTCTTACTCATCGAGTACTGTCCGGATCTTATCTTATTACTTATCAAAGTAAATTCGCCTATCCGTTTGTCGCCAGAAGAAGAACTTGAGTCCTACATTTATCCATAAAAGTTACCACACTTATGTGCATAAATACCCTGGAATACTTACACTTGTGGATTCCTCAATTTTTCTAAGTTGCTGCTCACTGAACGTACAAATATTTCGATTCAATATGAAAATGTAATAGAACTGAAGTAGAAAGGGTTACTTGAAACCCAACCCAAACCGACCTTACCTATAATATTTTTTGACCTGACCTACTTGACCCGTTTTTTTGGGTAGTTGGGTTTGGGTAAAAATTGACCCGTTTACCCAAATACCCAAACCCAAACGACCCAGGTCAAATGGGTTTCAAGTAGGTCAGTTGGTTTTAAGGTTTGACAAACAAGTCAGGTTGATTGTGCAGGGCTCTACATAATACCCTCTGCAAGGGTATGAAAACAGGTAGTCGAAGGCTCCGCAGCTAGCACTACAACCCCTTATGTTAGTTTTAGTTTTGTAAACTTTACTATCATCTTTAACACATAAATAAATAAATAATTTGAAAAAACACCGAAGCTAGATTTTTTTTTTAACGTTTTTATACCTTTGCAGAGGGTATTATGATTTCAGTCAGTAGTTTGCAACGCAGTGAAGGAGACGTTTCCGACCCCATAAAGTATATATATTCTTGATCAGCATCACAAGACGAGTCGATCTAGCCATGTCCGTCTGTCCGTCTGTTTCTACGCAAACTAGTCTCTCAGTTTTTGAGCTATCGAGACGAAACTTCCTATGGGAGCTATAAGATATAGTAGTCCGATGCGGTCGGTTCCGATATATATACTACCTGCAATAGAAAGAAGACTTTTGGGAAAGTTTCATCCCGATAGCTCAAAAACTGAGAGACTAGTTTGCGTAGAAGCAGACAGACGACAGGAAAAGTCACATAGTTCGATGAAAATTGAACCATTTAAACAGGGGTGGCCCACTTGGTAGATTTTGACTCATTATAATAGTTTATACGAGTATTATACCACCATCAACATACAAAACTTTTGAAATCAAATTTTGAGACGAGTCCTTGTACATTCAACTAAATAAACATGTTTAATAAAGTATTTTCATTCGGCACGCTGCAGTAGAATATGTTTTTGAAGGCGAAATACAAACAAAAACATTTGATATCAGAACTTTTAAATGTTGATGGTCGACACGACACTTTACTTCGAAGGAAGCATTTCCGACCCTATAAAGCATATATATTATTGATCATGGTCACTAGCCCAGTCGATCTAGCCATGTCCGTCTGTCTGTCCGTTCGTATGGACGCTGAGATCTCGGGAACTACAAAAGCTAGAAAGTTGGGATTACCGACACATATTTTTTGGCTTCCTACGCAGCGCAATGTTGTTCCAGCCTTAAACGATTTAAAAATGTGTCTGAAGCCCACACCTTTAAAGATTTCGGAAAAGTAAAAATGCAGTTATCCGATAGTCGGGGCACCCGACTATAGCGTTCTCTCTTGCTTTGTTTTATAATGAATACATGCAATTACGGTTTTCCAATTTTAAATAGGATAATATAAAAAGAATATATAAAATTATAAATGTTTGCTCCAAAGATATGTAGAATTTTATTACCTTTAAGATTGAGCTCATTTCATGTACGTAGATGCGCTCCGTCTCCAAAAGTTCCTTTAGTACATGACCACGTCTAAGGCGTCGTCGCTCAACATCCTTAAAAAAATATACATTATAAAATAAAAACTTTGATTACATATATTATAGTTGTAAATTGAAACATATATTATATAAATTGGTTGGGCGCAACTCGAGTTATAATTTAAAACTTGGAGATACAAAAAAAATTGTCTTATAAAATCTTTTAAAACAAGAAAGGAAGCTAGCTTCGGCAAGCCGAAGCAGATCATTCCTATTAATAAATGAATCGCAAAGATTTTCAATTTTCTATTATTTCTCATGTGGCAGAAATATTATAATAATATTCATGAATATTAAAACAATAACATTCCCAAGAGTAGAAGTTAATATTTCAGAAAACACCGAAGCTAGAATTTTTTTTACGTTTTTTTTCGATTTTTCCTATGGGAGTTATAAGATATAATTGTCCGATCCGACTTTTGGGAAAGTTTTATCCCGATAGCTTAAAAACTGAGAGACTAGTTTGCTTAAAAGCGGCTGGTGACCCTGATCAAGTATATATATACGGGAGAGTGGGGTAATTTCGTCGCTTTAGCAAATATTTAATATCTACACGAAAGTTTTCTGTTGTAGCGTGCCGAATGAATAAATTGTAGGTAGCGTACTTATTTAGTCGCATCTAAAATCATTTTTCGTCACAAAAGTTGATATCAGAACTTTTGTACGTTGAAGGTGCGATCGTCACTAATTTTTTACCTCGTTTAGGGCCGTTTTCTCGTCCGTCCTGTATAGTAAAATTTAGCTAATGGAAGGATAAATTTATCCCGGTGGCAAATCGGTTTTCGTTTTCTCGTCCGTCATTTAAAACTCCAAATAAAAGGCGCACTAATTTGAGTCTAGGTGGCAGCCGCAGCCCCACAACAGATGAGTAACTAATTGTCAAAACTTAATCGAAAAATACCATAAAACAGCTAATTATATAAACAAAATTTCAAACTAATAAAAAACAATGTCGGCAGAAAGAAAGTACCGATGAACAGGAGACAATTCTTGTTGAACCGGTGCCTTCGCAATCGCCTCCGGGAGATTGAATTCTTACATGCGTGCAAACTATGGCTCCAATGACTTTCGGAAACTTGGCTATTAAAGATCTTCAATACGCAGGTACTTCATAAATTGTTTTGAAAAATACGTTATACCAAAAGAAACTTCCTTAACAATCGCCAACAGTTATAAGAAAACTGCCACTTGCGTAAAATCTCAGAGTTATTGGAAAATGAACCCATGACTATATTGTCGTTTCCCTGCAATAATGGTTTTTGACTATATGGAATTAGTAAAATCAAATGAATGCACTTACTTCTTTACTTTAGATTCAAGTCAACAATTTTTTGCAAAACAAATAGCACCGCTTTTTCGCAAGCGAACCCAACAACAATTTTTTGTTTATCGCTCCGTTGTCCCGGCAGCCAAATTAAAGTACGGACGAGAAAACGGCCCTTAGAGGTGTTTTTATTTGATATCAGAAGTTTTTGTTTGTTTACTTTTGCTCTCATAGCTTTTAAACGTGACTTTTTACAGTAATGTGTTATATAGCAAAATTTAAGAAATCTCAAGGGCTTTACAGTTTAATGTTGTAAGGAAAATCGTTAGAGCAGTTTTTGAGAAAAATAAAAAAGGTAAACTTAAAAAACATGTTTTGGACAAACTGACAAACAGAATTAAATTTTCATTTTGGGAAGACGAAGAAAATCTTATTTTAGCTAAAACTTTTGAACGGAGCGTCGGATTTTATCATATGACCCCTCATTCGACGGGTATTTTCAATAGAAATCGAACTAAAACATTGCGAGGGGGCAATTATCCCCACCGGCCCCAACAGCTCCAAATTTCACTTTCACCGCTCTCTCTCCCAACCCAATTGATTTTCTTAAAGTCTTGGTATGCAATCCTTTAAGTTTTTATACCTTTCGATTGGTGTAATTTTTCAATTTTGCGGCTATATAATAGTAGTCGCCTTCGCACACTCTCCTGGTGCGCTTCGTCACTACGTGGACTGCCGTCCATAGTGATACATATTTTTTTATTTGACGAGCTGGCTAACGAACAGACTACCGGCAGCAGCAACAAATATAGGACGTCAACAAAAATGGTACGCTTGATCAGTGTAGCATACTTACAGGCGTAAAGTTCCCTACATTTTTCAGGTGACGAAATTTCCCCAGTAGTGTGGCGATTTTACCCCCCTATGTGGCGAGATTGCCCCAGTATATTGGTTTTACTTTTTGATTTTTTATAAATCACCAAGGTAATTTAAAACAAGACAGAACGCTATAGTCGGGTGCCCCGACTATCAGATACCCGTTACTCAGCTAAAGGGAGTGCGAAGGAGATGGAGATAAAAACTTTGATCCGCCGTAACTTTTTAACGAATGGTCCGATTTAAAAAATTTCTTCTTAATTTCGATAGGTATTGATAAACACCATAAAACTGCCTTTTTACTTTTCCGAAATATTTAAATTTTTAAAATCGTATATAAGCGATTGTGGGCGTTAGGGGGGCGTGGCACCCTTTTGAAACAAACTTGCGCTGCGTAGGAACTCTTAAAATCTGCATGCAATATGTCAATCCTCTAGCTTTTATAGTTTCCGAGATCTCAGCGTTCATACAGACAGACAGACGGACAGACGGACAGACAGACGGACAGACAGACGGACATGGCTAGATCGACTCGGGTAGTGATCCTGATCAAGAATATATATAGTTTATAGGGTCGGAAACGCTTCCTTCTACCTGTTACATACTTTTGCACGAATCTAGTATACCCTTTTACTCTACGAGTAACGGGTATAAATAGGGGAATGTCACATTTTAAAGCTTGGTGCTAACCGCATTCAACAATAAAAATAGAAATATGATAACGTGTCTCAAGATGGACAAAAAATAGCTTTGAAAAAATGCTGACGAAATTACCCCACTCTCCCCCACTTTATGGGGTCGGAAACGCTTCCTTCTAGCTGTTACATACTTTTGCATACTTTTGTATATATATTCTTGATCAGGGTCACTAGCCGAGTCGATCTAGCCATGTCCGCCTGTCTGTCCGTCTGTCTGTCCGTTTGTCCGTCTGTCCGTCTGTCTGTCTGTCTGTCCGTATGAACGCTGATATATCGGAAACTACAAAAGCTAGAAAGTTGGGATTTTCTAAACATATTATTGGGCCTCCTACGCAGCGCAAGTTTGTTTCACCAAGGTGCCACTCCCCCCCTAATGCCCACAATCGCCATAAACGATTTTAAATGTGCCTGGCGGCCACATCTTTTAGGATTTTAAAAATGTATAAATGCAATTTTATAGTGTTTACCTATCGAAATGTAGAAGAAAATAAATCGGTTAAAAAGTTATGCCCGATCAAAGTTTTATATCTTCGTCTACCTCGCACTCCCTTTAGCTGAGTAACGGGTATCTGATAGTCGGGGCACCCGACTATAGCGTTGTGCTATCAGCTGGAAAGGTATTTTGGTATTTGGCTCCGTTGGAATTTCGAATCGTACTTTTACATAAATATGCTCAGTAGATGTAAGCAACGTTCTGCTTTAACACTTTAAAACAAATATTGATTTTTGGGAAAGTTACATTAAAAAACAAATCGTTTGCAACATTACCCTACAGTTTTTGAGAGTGCAAAAAAATAATGTTTCATGCCAAACGCTGTAGGATTTAGCTCCGTTGGATTAATCGTATCTGTACAGTAAGTATGTTGTACTTATGCTCAGTAGATGTAAGCAACTTTTTGCTTTTACACTTTTGAAAAATAAGGGTTTTTGGAAAAGTTACGTTTAAAAAACGAATCGTTCGTCACCTTACCCTACACTCCCCTAGTACTTGACGATGCTTGACGTGACGCTCTCGTAATTAGTTGCCAATCAGCACTTCTTTTCTTTCGGCACTAGGCTCAAATTATATGTCTTGATTAGCACATAAATATGTGCTAGGGCTGACTTTGGGGTCATTTTTTTGTTTTTAAGAAAGTTAAAAAAAATCAAGACTTTCGCACGGGACACCAATAGAAGTGATTTTTTTTTACTTCCTGCTTAACTGTTGATTGTAACGAAACGGAAGGAATATTTTAATGCAGTTAATTTCATAGTGTTCCTTGTTCTTGCTTCTTTGAAATGGGTTTGGTTTGGTTGCAAAATATTAAGTGGTTATTTTATCCAAAGATACTCAAATTATTTAGCTTAGTTGAGGATCCATCTAAATAGAATCAAATGGCAGTGCAAAATCATATAGAAATATGTTTTTATCAAGTTTCAAGTTTTTGTTCTTAACTAAATTAAGTTTAAAATAAAACAAGGGAGAACGCTATAGTCGGGTGCTCCGACTTTCAGATACCCGTTATTCAGCTAAAGGGAGTGCGAAGGAGATGGAGATAAAAACTTTGATCCGCCGTAACTTTTTAACGAATGGTCCGATTTAAATAATGTCTTCTACATTTCGTTAGGTATTGATAAACACAATAAAACTGCATTTTTACTTTTCCGAAATATTGAAATTTTTCAAATCGTATATAAGCGATTGTGGGCGTTAGAGGGGACGTGGTGCCCTTTTTGAAACAAACTTGCGCTGCGTAGGAACTCCCAAAATCTGCATGCAAAATGTCAATCTTCTAGCTTTTATAGTTTCTGAGATCTCAGCGTTCATACGGACAGACAGACAGACAGACAGACGGACAGACGGACAGACGGATAGACGGACAGACGGACATTGCTATATCGACTCGGCTAGTGACTCTGATCAAGAATATATAAGTTAACTAAAGTCAACCGGACAGAGTCGATGACCGGCTGTCCGAATAACATGCACCGGCCAAATCGCTGACACAGCATTTGACCGGATGCTCGTGCATAGCCGGCAAACACAGCACTTTTGCGTGGCCGCTATGTTAGCTTTAAGTCCAGAATTTGTATTCAGTTCTGTTTCATGTCTTGAATAAAGAGCACACTGCTCGTTAACATTACTCCGGCCATCGCCGTCAAACTTATTTACATTCGTCCACTGAGCTTAAGGCCAG